CTGTATTTGTCAAGTGCTTCATATGTTCCTCTCGACTCTTAAAATAAACCTAAATGTCATTAATGAACATAATCATGAAGTTGTCTAAATATTCATGGAAGACTCAATTTATCAAGTCTATATATATGATCGGTGCAATGATTAATCCAAATGCATCACCATAACATCGTAGTGTCCATACCGAGTTCTAAAGGCTATTTCTTTCACATATTTTTGTCTAACCCTCAATTGATTATATCCTAATTGCAAATCAATCTTAAAAAACAATAAGCTTCCTCTTAACTAATCAAATAAGTTATCAATACAATGAAGTAAATTTTTATTCTTAATGGTCACCCGATTCAAGTTTTGATAATTAATCTATAATCATAGTGATCTATCTTTCTTTTTCATAAACAAAATGGATGCTCCCCATGGTGAACAATTAAGCTGAATATAGCTATTATCCAATAGGTGTTATAATTGAGGTTTTAACTCTTTTAATTCCATAATTGCCTTTCGATATGGTGCCTTAGAAATTACGGTTGTTCCTGGTTCAATTTCAATCTCAAACTCGATCTTCCTTTTTGGTGGCACTCTTGATAATTTTTTAGGAAAGACATTAGGGAAATCCCTCACCATATCAATGTCCTTCATATTTGCTCTCCTCTCTTTTATCGAATTCATCATATTCACTAAGTAACCCATGCATCTATTTTAAATCATCTTCTCGGTTATCATTGTCGAAATAATACTCACAAGTTGTTAGTATAGGTGCCCAAGATTCAACCTTGTTTGGATAGTTTGATTTATTACAATGTTGTATTTTTATATATTAATAAAAGAAGTTTTTCTATTAATTACGGTCGAGTTCTAATTTGATAAGTAACGGGGCTATGTGATTATAAGAAAACTCATCTCTTATCTTTAGGACTTAGAAATCGATCAAAACCATAAACTCGTCCACTTGCACAAGGACATCTTCCACCAGCCCTTCGGGGTAAGCATTAGTGTGATATTCTAATTGAATGATAATAATATTTTCTTTCAACGGGCCTACATTCAATGAAGTATAAATAGAATATGGCATCACATTGATTAATGCTCCTAAATCTAGCATAGCTTTTTCTATCCTAGCATTACCAATCTAATAAGGTATTATAAGCATACATCGATTCATGCATTTTAAACAGATTTTTCTTTGAAAAATAGAAACATTCTTTTTCATCCTTACCTTTTTATTGATGCTCGATCTTCTCTTTTTCATTCACAAGTCCTTTAAGAACTTGGCATACCTTGGCACCTCGCTTAATGGCATCTAAGAGAGGTATGTTTACCTTTGTCGTACTTGAATAGCTCGAAAAATCTCCCTTTCCTTTTCTTTCTTCATCTTCTCTTTTTGAGGCTTTTTTAACTCTGCTAGAAAAGGGTGCATGGTTAGTTGAAAATTGAATGGAAAGCTCAAAAATTACCTTAGGACTCAATGTAGTCCCATCAATTTACATGCTCTTCTTCTCTATTTTTAGCTCTAACCTTTCTTCCTCGGCTACCTCGGATATCATCTTGCTCGGTTCTCTACCGGACCACTTCTCAACATCATAGCACCGACATTTTCTTTTAGGTTTATCATCATTTCGGATGGCAATTTCCCTCAGATTGAGCATCTAAGCGACTCATAGTAGCCACTATCCGACTCATCCGATTTTTCTCGTGCTTGAATGCTTAACCTCATCTCTCACTACAATTACTTTGTGTTCAAAGCAAGAGACTTCACTATTTTATTCAATCATTAATATAAGTTTTGGAGGGTATGTTGTTGATAAGGCTTGGGTTGATAGCCCTATTGCCTTTGCTGATAAAAGTTTTATCCTTCTTGTCAATTACCTTTATAACTCAAATTTGGGTGATCTCTCCAATCTAGATTATAGGTGTTGGAGAATGGGTCATAAGGCCTTGTTTGCCTATCACCGAAATTTCTAGCGACATGAACCTATTTAATGTGCCTCTCTTAGAGTGTTAGGCATTCATTATTGGTGTGACCTATAATTGAATAAATTCCATAAGCTTTCACACCTTATAGGTTTTCCATAACCATTTATCTTACTAGTGAAGTTAGGTCGGACATTTGTTGCTTCAAGATAGATATGTTTACTTCATTTACCTCTTTGGTGTATGATCAACTCTTACAACAAATTGCTAAGAATTCATAGCCATGTTAGATATCAATGCTTTTCCCACATAAAGGATCTTATTTACCAGGTGCTCTGTTAGATATCAATGCTTTTCCAACACAAAGGGTCTTATCTACCAATGCTCCTTCACTAGCAACATCTATCATGCTCCTCTTCATAGGTAGCAATCTTTCATAGAAATACATAATTAACGACTAGTCAAAGATTTAATGGTGTGGGTAGCTAGCACATAACTTTTTAAACCGATCTCGGTACTCGTAAAATATCTCTTCATTAAATTTTATGATCCCATAGATCTCGCTATCTTATACTCGGCTATTCTTCATGTAGGAAAATATTTCAATAAAAGACATGTTTTATCTTGTTCCACGAGTTAATGGATCTTATAGAGAGATCATACAACCGGTCTTTTACATACACATCTAGTGAGAATGGGAATGCTCATAGTTTAATTTACTCTTCCGATGCTCCTTGTGGTCTCATGATCGACCAAACCATATAGAATTCCTTCAAATGTTTATAGGGGTCTTCTCCAGCAAGGCCTTAGAATTTAGGTAACAAGTGTATCAATCTCGATTTCAACTCAAATGCAACATCAAGATATAGGAACTCTAGACATAAAGGCTACCGATTAAGATTCGAACGATGAGCTCCTTTAAAGTTCTTTTCACTCTATTTGCAACCATCACCTCTTCTTTTATATCACTTGATGATAAAAACTTGAGAACTATAATTATGCCCGGTGAAGCAGCAATTACTTTCTCGGATGTCTCAATCCTCTCAATCAAAGCTTATCTAGTTTCTCTCCTCAACTTGCTTAATACTCTTTCCGGTTTAGAGTTGAAAATTAGGTCACTTGTTTGAGATTTGGTCATATACCAACCCGATATAGACAATAAGAATAGTTAAAATATCAAGAAACAATTAACTTTAGCATAAATCTTCCCCGACAACGATGCCAAAATTTGATGGCATGTTGATTATAAAAAAATTAGCCTATTTTTATATTTTTCTTATGGAACCCAACCACAGGGGTTTAGGACGAGCAAGTAAGGGCCGAACCCATAGGAAAACAGACTTAATCAATGCTTTCTTTTGGCTAATTATTCTATAGTGCAATGAAAGTGAAAAAAAAAAGGGTTTGTATTTATAGAGATTTGTAAGCAATCAAAAGTATATAGAATTAGCAATAATGAGGAAAAGTTTTTGTTGAAGATTTGTATCCATTTTTGGTTTAATCATTAATTATTGATTTAAATATCGATATATTCTCAACATGAATATTCACCATAAAACAACAACATGTATATTATCCTCAATCTCTTCTTACCGATTCGTTAACCAAACAAATGTTATTTGATTAATTCCTAACTATTAAACAACCTAGTAAATGCTAACTAGATTTAATCCAATAGCAGCATTAAATAGAGAAAGATAGATGAAGTTAAACCACTCTTTTAGATGCTAGAAAAATGTAATCTAGTTCTATATTTTTCAAAGGTTTAAACAAAATGCATTTATAATCATTAATCGCTAGTTATTATCACAAGTATAAACAAGCAATTACATGAACTTAAATATTTAGCTAGCAATAGATTATAATGATCAAGAAACTAGCATGCACTCTAATAAATTAATCACACAATCATAACCAAATAACATAAAAAAAAACACAAAATACTAAAAAAGAATAAATTTAGAATTAGAACCTATTAAAATCTCATAACCATTTTACCAAAGCATCAATCTTCCTTCAACCAAGATAGATGTTTAATGATTTATGACTAATTATAAGAGAATTTTCTATCTAAGAGTGGCTACCAAAGTGGGAATCTTAAAATAAAACCCTAGTCTCACTATTTATAGCTAAAAGTAATGTTACAATACACATATGTTAGCTCTACATGGCTACACAAGTTGTTTAGAAAAGTCACATAGTTTATTGCTTAATTTCAAAATGGTTTGTAGCCTTAGAGAGCTGGTGTTGCATGGTTTATCGAAAGAGGCACACAAGTTGTGTGCCTTTTGCATTCCATCTTATGTCTCTAGCATCTACCTATATAGAATTTTACCTTCACCCTATGCCACTTTAATTTGCTCGTATGCCTCATTCTTTAGATCTCTTTTAGCTTTGATGAGACATGGTCATGTGTCTTATTCAAGTGTATACCATGTGGAATGCTTCGCCCATGTGTTGTTTCTTTCCTCTTGGAAGATAACTCAACCTAGACACAAGTACGGTCGTATTACTTTCATTATTCGGCCATGTGGAATGCTACTACCCATATGGTATTTGTTATTGGACTATATGGTTTTCTCCTTTGTTTCACATGGCTAGTAGTTATTTTTCTTTTATAATACATGTAGCCATGTGTCTTCTAAGCTTCTTTGGTGATTTTGGCTTCTTTTTACTTGGGTTTTTTTTTTTGCTCAAATTCACCATTTTTCCAACAAAACTAGAATTCGTTATCTTGATCTTAATTTTCTAAATACAATACAATAAGTATTACACATTTTAATGTAAAAGAGCTCAAAGTTATGCAAATTATGCACTCATCACAACAAAAACCCTCATCCATTACACGTTCTTTATTGTAAGATCATATATTTTTCTATTTCTATACTAGCACTTGAATCTTATCACCCATAAGCAACAAATGCATAAATTTATCTCCATCAATCAATAAATTATCTTTGGGATCATCAGCAGCAAAAATCATAGCAATTCTATTTGCTACAACAAATTTATTACAATCTCGGGATCAATTTCTCCTCTCAATATTCTCTTATCCAAGTATTCTCCTACCCAATAACGAAATGAAGAGAATATTACCCACTACTAAAGGGAAAGGCATCCTTATGAGAAAATTTCTTTATGGCACCTTCTTCATCATATGAACAATTTCCCTCTAAACCATAGTCATTCCATAGCATTAGAAAGATGTTCAACAATCCATCAAGTTGTTCAAATCCTAAGAAGTAAATCCACATAGGTGTATCATGTAGGCTTGGAATAAAATTCATAAGTCTAAAAAATAGACTAGACTCTTAGGATTAGTGGAAGAAGGTTCCCTTTTGACCTTATAAAATTTTTTATTTTTTCTTTATAAAATTTATTCCGCAAAGTCAAAACAAAATGTTTTTTTATGATTTTGCACCATAAGTGTTATAAAGAGAAGCCAAATATTGCTATCCTAAATTTGACCCTATATTTTTACAAAGTTTTCAAAATATCTAAAATCTAAAAAAAAAATCATTATTTTTGTAATTTTTTAGTTATTTTAGGATCTTTATGACTTTTAAAACATGTTGGTGTTTTTTCTAAAATTTTTTTATAAAAAACATAAAAAAAGAAAAACTTTTGGGTAATACTAAAGAAATAAAAAGAATGAGGATCAAAGAAATTCTAATTAGGGATGCAATAAAAAAAGCTAAAAAACTAAAATAGAAAACAAGAAGGAAATAAGAGACTGAAATTGAAGTAAAAGTCTACACTAATTCCGCCGTATAAATATCACCCTTACATAAATAGAAAGGAAGGGAAACTAAAACATAAACTTTAGCTCCCATCACCTTTTTTCCCCTCTTTTCCTCGCCAAAAATCACGTCATCTCGTTCTTCTATTGTTCCTAACCTAAAAACCACCGTAACCACCATCTAACCTCTCTCGCTTGTTTTTATGGCCTACCATGGCACCTTAAAAAATAACTACTCCACCCAACTACCTCCCATCTCTAGTCACCAGCATCAATTGCCACCCAAATATTACCCAAAAAATAAACCCCATGCCACTACTTCCCATCTCCCGATCAACACCTAAAAAAATCCATATCTTTTTTTTTCTTTTGTCGATTGACAAATCCATCGATAGCAACCTTCTTAATTAGTTATCATTTTTTTCTCTCATGTCTTGCACTTGATTTACCATAAAAACAAACATCTACCTCTTCTATCTCCTTTACCTTTCTCGATATCTCATCTAAACAACTTGATCATTTTACGCTATAGAAGAAACATGTCTCTAGGGATACAAGGAGTGCATATTTTGTCAAGTTTAGAGGGATGGGTTGCTTGTTCACAATGAAAAAAGTAATGGATAAAAGAATGTTAGCTAGGAGGAAAAAGTTATCGAGAGCTCAAACCAAAAGAGAGATTTTGGTTTTGTAGTGGTAGGGATCTTCATATATTAGGGAAGACATAGCCTAGCAAGAAATAAGATTTTATGCTTCAAAAGTGCTTATTACCTTAAAGTATTTGTATGTGATGGGTGTTGTATATAGAGACGTAAAGCCTAAAAATGTTTTAGTAGTTAACATGTTTTGAAGGAAACACTCAAAATCATGAGGAGGATGGCCTTATAGAATTAGAAGTGATGGTTAGTGAATTTAAGGCTGGTCTCGGACCTCTTTCCAATCAAAACTTAATGTGTTGCACTCGATGCATACATGAGAAGAGTTTTAATAGCACAAAAATAGAATGTTGACAAGGCATAAAAAATATTGCAATAGACACTCAAGTGGAGAGGAATTTGTAAGCTCGAATAAATTTATTGGTATAAAGTAGATCTTGAAGTTCTTATGTAAAAAACTTCCCTTGCATTTATCAACTCCTTTAGAACTAATTCAAGTCAACCAACCTCTAGCAATAACAATAGTTCTAGTCATGCCTCTAGTGGTTCCAATAGCAACACCTCTAGCAATTCCAAAAGTAGCTCCTCCGAGTACTCTAGCCATGCCTCTAGCAACAACAACATCTCTAGAGGAATTCTAGGGTATTTTTGTAACCTCCTATATTTAGGGTTGATTTTTTAATTTTCTTGTTCAAAGAGATTTTTGTAATTTTCTATGTAAGGGTGCTTCTATAATTTCATATATCTATGGGCACTTAGATAATCTCCAACAACTATATAGGGTAATTCTATAATTTTTAATGCTAGGGACATTTTATGGTCATTGGGTTTGTTTTTTATGTCCTTTTTGTTTTTTTATTTTAAATATTATCTTATAATATTACATGCATTAAAGTATTATTTGGTCACTAATAGAGGTGATGTTTCAAGGGAGAAATTATCTAGGGGCCCCGGAATTCCACATAAGATAAGGACCCCTTCTATTCATTGTGTTCCATGTGTAAATTTTTTTCCATGTGGGATAAAAGAAACCCTTCATCTTCTCCTTCATCCCTCGTCTCTCTCTCACTCCGACGGCTTGCCGCCCAACTCTTCATTCCTCCCTCATCTTTCTCACTCCAACGACCATGTGAATTCTTGCTAATATCTATCGATAGAATTGGCAACAACAACCAAAAAGCGAAGGAAAACATCAAAATGATGGGCCTTAATATGCGTTGTAGGTGACAAGCTATAAAATTTTGCTTTAAACGGAGATGGGCCATCAAAGGTCAAGCACTCACAATGGTGCACGCAGTAGGGAAATTTTTAGATTTTATACAAAGGATTTTGGTAGATTAGCAAGTTGCCCTTTTTTTTAATCAAAAAAATATCTCTTCCTTATTTTTATTTTTCCGGAATACTTCATCGTCAAAGCCTCCAAAAACCTCAACAATTATCCAAATCAAAATGAACAAACCGACAAATCATAATCCTTTGAATAACAAAATAATCCAAGTCAAATCCTCTCCACTTTCCCTAAGCCATTGGTGGCAAAAATTTCGATCATTGACTTATGGCGGAAGATCAATAGATAGAAGATAATGATTAGAGATGAATGTTAATCCTTTATGAATTCAAATAAAGAAAATTCATCCCCACACAGAGAGAGAGAGACGACGGAAAAAAGGAGCCAACCACGAGAGAGAGATACGACGGAGTAATGAAGAGTTAGATAGCAAACCGTCGGAGTGAGAGAGAGATAAAGGATGAAGGAGAAGATGACTGGTTTTTTTTATCCCACCTAGAAAAAAATTTACACATGGCACATAATGAATGGAAGGAGTCCTTATCTAACGTGGAATTCTAGGACCCTAGATAATTTCTCATTTCGAGGATATGATGTCGTTGGAGAATTTACTAAGGAGACATAAAGTTGGTGATCAATATTTTTCAATAAAAATGAAACATGAAACAACAGGATTAGGGTTTAATTTGATTGGTTTATTCAAGACATAATAGTTTTGTCCTAGTGTGACTCGGATTGCACAGTACATTCTATCATTGCTTTGAGTTTGTGTTTGAGTCGAACGTATGTGCATTTTTATTGAAAATCTAAGTTCAATGCTATCAGTTACAATTTCATCAATTCTTAATCTCAAAATATTATTAATGGAATTTTCATGAAAATTCTTAATCAAAATATTGGAGGTGAATTTTTCACTCAAACCCTAGGTTTGAAATGTCGTTAGCGATATTTTCTTTCAAACACTAGGTTCAAAATACAATCAATGCAATTATCATTAATTCATGTCTAAAATGACACTAGTGGTATTTTCATCAATTCTTAATGTCAAATTGTTGTTAGTGGAATTTTTATCAAAATTCTTAATCAAAACATCATTAGTCATATTTTTACCCAAACTATAGGTTTGAAATGTTATCATTGATATTGTCTTCCAATGTTTTCTTCCAAACTCGTAGGTTGAAAATGTTACCGACTCTTATCATGCTTAAAATAAAAATTTTAGAACCTAAATATCTAATTAATATCATTCATTTATTTTTATCAAACATATCAATTAGAGAGGAGACTAGGTTTTGAATTACTTAAAGTTATTAGGGTTCAAAATTGATTGTGCTCTTGGAGGGTAAATTTCAACTTAATAAAATAAGGACCTAAAAATGTTGGATTAATTTGAAATTTGGATAACAGCTTTTTCTAAGTTTCATCTAGGTTATGATAAAATTTTAGAATATTTTGATAAGTATTGCTAGAGTTTTGGCCTATTGCAATATTTTGAGGTTTGTTGAATTTTTAGGATTACGAGATTAGGTTAAGTTTTTTTTTTGTGCTGATTGATTGGTTGTATTAATTTTGATTTGTGATGGATCTATTTTTGAGTGTTTGAGGAGTCTTTCTTGTTAAAATTGTCCTCATGAAATTTGGCTTAGAGGCTATTTTTGTTTGTCTTTCGCATGTTATGGTTGTCTTCATGAATCCGATGTTGCTCATCAATTCTTGTCAAAAAAATTTTGAGTGGCATTTTTGTCAATTTTTAATCTCAAAATTTTGTCAGTGGTATTGTCATCAAAATTTTTAATCAAAATGTCATTAATGATATTTTCATCCAAACTTTAGGTTCAAAATATCGTCGGTGGCTCTTCCTTCCCACCCCTATGTTTAAAATACCTTCAGTGGCATTCTTATCAATTCTTATCCAAAATGCCATCAGCGTTTTCATCCATTCTTAATCTCAAAATATTATCTCGTGACTTTTTTGTCAAAATTCTTAACCTAAAATCATCAATGGCCATATCTTTCAAATCCAATCTTGTGTCATTAGTGGCACAATCTCTTGCAATCGGTGGAATAATCCAATGTCGTTAGTGACAATTTCATCAAAACTCTAGATCAAAACAACATTAGTGGCATAATTTCTACAATCTTTTTATCGACTCACCAATCTTTTGAATCTCAATCAAAATCTTGTTAGTGACATAATCTTTGTGAGATCATTATTGATTCATTCATGATTTCTCCAAGTTTGCCTTTGTTGGCCTAAACCCTTTATTTATGATTTCCTTATTCTCTCAAAGTTAAGATAAGGCTTTGGACCAACCAACTCTAAATCACTCGATCAATCAATATCAAGCTTAGCAATAAATATATTCAAATAGGCATAAACTTTGATTATATTAAAAACTAGAGATCACATGTAGCCATCGCATGTAATGCAACCTCGCCTTAAACACGATGGGATAATATGATTTTTATTTTCTTTAAATATAGTCAATCCCTTACTTAAGAACACGATGCAAACCAGTCAATTGGTTTCTTAGTGGCCTTTAAGCATTAGCTAGCCACTCTTTTTCTTTCTTTTTTCTTACTCTTTTTCCCTATCTCTCCTCTAACATTATTGAGTCACCCTTGATATTACGTACATGCTTGCTACATTATCAATTATAGATCTTTATTCTTTAACAAGTAGAGTATTGACTACAAGTAGATTATGAAAATACTTTATACACAACAAGAAAATTATTTGGCATGCTAGGAGTCATATTCTTCCATCTCATAAAAAACATGGGACCTATTATGAAAATTATTCATGAGCCTCCCCATTATGTAACCGAAAGGAGTACAATTCTTGTTATACTTAATGACTATTTGATGTGCCTTGCGTTAGAGGCTTATTTTAGTATAGTCGATATTTATTACATCATTAATGGTTCGATAATGCAATTCTCTCGTTAAATTTAAACATTACAATATAACTAAAAGAAGTGAGGCAAATGAACAGATCAATCACTATTGATTTACTTGTTCATTTACCTTAATTCACTATTAACATTATGGCACTTTTGTAAATTTTTTCAACTCGTTTTTTTTTTCAAGTAACAATCCATAACAATTTGCACAAAAGGAATATACCTCACATGCAAAATCGCATGACTCACAACCATAAATTAAACGAGCTTTAAGCCTTGGTCATTGGTCCAATCCAAATCGCCGTAAGATGAACCTAAAAATTAAAATGGTACAACGGCCTACATGCCGACACGTGTAAAGTGAGAATGAGAAAGAAAAAAATCTTCTTTTATTTTTTCAAAAGAATAATAAATAAATAAATAAATAAAACTTCTAATATACTAAGCTATATTGATACCCATTTTAAAGCATTTTAAAATAATAATAACAATAACAATTATAAATTTGAAGTAAAATGACAAGAAAAAGCTTCAACAAAATTGTGAGTCATTTTTTGGAATAAAATTTTAAATTATTTTTATTGCATTTTATTAAATTTAATATATTTCTTATAATTTAATTTTCTTAAAATATATTTTTTAATTTATACAGAATATGGTGATGATGTAATGATGTATACAAAAAAGTATTAAGATCATTGATTTTATTAAAAATTAATTTTGTATTTACACATATAACACCAACTATTTTCTATTATTGATTTTTAATATTCTAAATTTAATTTATTTTAAATAAAAAATTATTTTAAAAAAATCACCTAATAATTCAAATACATGTTTTTATACCTAATTTTATTGATTGTTTTCCGTGTGTGTATCTATCTATCAAATGTATACGTTTTTAAAAAATTTTAATAGATTCATTAGTTAATTTTTATACAAAATTTTTTATAGATTGTTGATATATTTCTCTAATGATGTCTTATAAAAAATTAAGATATTTTAAAAAATTTATATTTATATTATTATAAGTTTTTATTTAAAAATGTATGAATAAAAAAAATCATGTTTTTTTAACAACAAAATCTATGAAAAATATAAAGAAGCGCGAATAAAATACAAAATTTGATAAAAAAATAAGAAATTAAATAAAAATTTTATCTTTTATTTTTAATTTAATATATATTAGTAGAAAAAAACTAAAAGAACTCGAGATATTTATTATTCATTTACTATTGTTTTAGACTTAGATTCACTATTCATTGTGTTGTTTGATTTTTCGTCTCTTACCTTTATGTTAATTTCTCTTTTGATACTCGATGCATTTGAGAAAATTAATTTTTTTTTTCCTGGACTAATTTTCTTTTTAATTTTATTTTTGGGCCTTTTTCATCATTTTTTTTTCTTTTTCTT